ATAAAGTGACAACTTTAGTTCATTTTCTTTTGTCAGGTAACCCCTTATCTCTGTGCTCTATCGTATTCTAGTGGCCAGTACTTCTATAGTCAGTATGTAAAAATGGGAGATAACGGACACCCCGGCCTGGTGCCGTTTTTCAATTTGAACCAGTTTGAACATAGGTCCAATTGTTCTGGCCATTGGATCTCTATATAGCTCTAATTGTTCTGGCCATTGGATCTCTATATAGTGCTAAAATTGCAGTTAAAAGCCAACCTGATATTCCAAATGCCTTTAGTGTTTTCCATAAAGGCCCAGCTGATCCTGTTGAATGTCTTTTCAGCATCTAGTGACAGGATCAGCATACGACTTAAATTTTGTTCCGATATATCTATTACATCAATCTTCTGTTATTATTGTTCGCCATTCTTTCAGGTACGAAGCCTATTTGATCAGAATGGATTAAATATTTCAAAACTTCTTTTAATCTTTGAGCAGTAATAGAAGAGAATAACTTGATGTTTACATTAATAAGGGATATTGGGCGATAGTTACATGGTTACATAGTTACATAGTTACATAGCTGAAAAGAGACTTGCGTCCATCAAGTTCAGCTTACCTCACATTTGTTTTTTGCTGTTGATCCAAAAGAAGGCAAAAAAACCCAGTTTGAAGCACAATTTTGCAACAAGCTAGGAAAAAAATTCCTTCTTGACCCCAGAATGGCAGTCAGATTTCTGCTTGGATCAAGCAGTTATTACCCTACATTGAAAGATTATATGCATCTAGTAGCCGTTTGAACATCTGTATGGACTCTGATAAAACCACTTTTTCAGGCAGAGAATTCCACATCCTGATTGTTCTTACAGTTAAAGGACCTTTCCTTTGCCTTAGACAAAATCTTCTTTCTTTCAGTCTAAACGCATGGCCTCGTGTCCTATGTAAAGTCCGGTTTGTGAATAGATTTCCACACAATGGTTTGTATTGGCCCCGAATATATTTGTATAATGTTATCATATCCCCTCTCAGGCGACATTTTTCTAAACTAAATAGGTTTAAATTTGTTAACCTTTCTTCATAGCCTATATGTTCCATTCCTTTTATTAATTTTGTAGCCCGCCTCTGCACTTTTTCTAGTGCCATAATATCCTTCTTTAGAACAGGTGCCCAAAATTGCACAGCATATTCAATATGGGGTCTTACCAGTGATTTATAAAGAGGCAAAATTATATTCTTGTCCCGAGAATGAATGCCCTTTTTCATGCATGACAATACCTTACTGGCCTTGGCCACTGCTGATTGACATTGCACATTGTTGCATAGTTTGTTGTCTATAACAATTCCCAAGTCCTTTTCATGTGTTGTTATCCCTAATTCGCTTCCATTAAGGGTATACGTTGCTTGTGTATTCTTTACGCCGAAGTGCATAACTTTGCATTTTTCAACATTAAATTTCATCTGCCATTTGAGTGCCCAGTCCCCAGTCTATCTAAATCCCTCTGCAGCAAAGTAATATCTTGCTCACATTGTATTGTTTTACAAAGTTTTGTGTCATCTGCAAACACTGAAACATGACTTTCAATACGGTCTTCAAGATCATTTATAAACATGTTAAATAGAATTGGTCCCAGAACAGATCCCTGAGGGACACCACTTGCCACCTCTGTCCAGCTTGAAAATTTACCATTAATGACAACTCTTTGTACTCTGTTTTTAAGCCAATGTTCTACCCAAGAACAAGCATTTTCATCTAGACCGATTTCCTTGAGTTTGAACACTAATCTATTGTGTGGAACTGTATCAAATGCCTTGACAAAATCCAAATAGATCACATCCACGGCAACACCCTGATCTATACTTCTACTTACTTCTTCGTAGAACGCAATCAAGTTAGTTTGACATGACCTGTGCTTCATAAAACCATGCTGATTTTTGCTGAACCATGTTCTTCTCAAGGAATTCTTGAATATTATCCCTTAATAACCTTTCAAATATTTTACCAGCCACAGAAGTTAAGCTCACAGGTCTATAATTTCCAGGCAAGGATTTTGAACCTTTTTGAATATAGGAACCACATCTGCCTTCCTCCAATCCTCCGGAACACTTCCTGAAAGAAAAGAATCTTGAAAGATTAAAAACAGAGGTTCACTTATTTCTGCACTTAGTTCCTTAAGTACACGTGGATGGATACCGTCAGGCCCTGGAGCTTTGTTTATATTAACTTTCTTTAGTTGCTGCAGCACCTTGTCTTGAGTTAACCAATTACAATTATTCTGCAAGTTTTTAGTAGCAATCATTTGCACATCTATTGCCATGGGTTCTTCCTTAATATATACAGAGGAGAAATAGTTATTTAAAATTCCTGTCTTTTCCTGGTCTTCATTAAATAACACCCCCGTTTCAGTTTTTAGTGTACCTACACTTTCATTTTTTTTTTTTTTTTAATTTATGTACTTAAAAAATGCTTTGGGGTTGGTTTTGCTCTCTTTAGCTATCATTATTTCATTTTGAAGTTTAGCAAGTCTAATTGCCTTTTTGCATGCATTATTTGCTTCCTTATATCTTTTATAAGATGCATCTGATTTGTCCGATTTAAATGCTTTAAATGCCCTTTTCTTAGTTGTATTCTCTTGTTTTACTTGTCTACTAAGCCACATTGGTTTTAATTTGTTTCTTTTATATTTATTTCCCAACAGTACATACTGAGAAATGTACCTTTTTAATATTTGTTGGAAGATGATCCATTTATCCTCAGTGTTCTTTTCACTAAAGAGTTTATGCCAGTCAATATATTGTAAAGCTTCCCTTAACTTATTGAAATTGGCCTTTTTAAAATTATATGTTTTAGTATTCCCCATGTGCTTTTGTTTTTTTGAGTTTATTTCAAAGGACACTATATTGTGATCACTATTTCCCAAGTGCTCACCTACTTGAATGTTGGTCAAAAGATCAACGTTGTTTGTTAAAACCAGGTCCAGACAAGCGTCCATTCTAGTTGGTGCTTGTACAAGTTGTGACATGAAGGTGTCATTTAACAAGTTTAAAAACCTAATTCCCTTTGCTGAGGTACTAGTCCCTCTGTCCCAATTTATATCCGGGTAATTAAAATCTCCAATAATTAAAGTGTTACCCAGATTTGCAGCTTTCTCAATTTGCTCAAACAGCTGTTGTTCCTCGTCAATATTAACATTAGGTGGTTTATAACATATCCCAACCAATAGTTGGTTTCCCTTCTTTTCCCCCAAGCAGATATTTACCCATAAAGCTTCCACATTATCCTCCTCGCATTCCATTTGCTTAACATTTGGCTTTAAATCATGGTTGACATACAAACATACCCCACCACCCTTCTTGTTTTTCCTATCCTTCCTAAATAACATGTACCCATTTAAGTTAGCTGCCCAGTCATGTGTTTCATCCCACCATGTTTCAGTTATGATTATTATTTCATATTGTTTAGTGTATGCTAATGACTCTAGTTCCCCCATTCTGTTATTTAGGCTCCTTGAATTAGTAAGCATACATTTAATATTATGCGTCACTTGTATATTTTGTGAATTTTTAACATTACACAGCTTCTCTGTTCTGAGCTTGCCCCTCCCCCCGTCTCCACCCCCCTTATACTGTGCTAAAGCCCATCTCCTTTCTGTCCTATCTCCATTTTGTAGATTGCTATGACCCTCCCCCCCTACTACTAGTTTAAAATCTCCTCCAACCTTCTAGCCATCCTATCCCCCAGCACTGCAGACCCTCTCCCGTTTAGGTGCAATCCATCACCACTATAAAGGTTGTACCCAATCGCAAAGTCGGCCCAGTGCTCTAAAAACCCAAAACCCTCCTTCCTGCACCAAGACTTAAGCCACGCATTGACCTCTCTAATCTCCCGCTGCCTTTCCACTGTAGCGCGTGGCACAGGTAATATCTCAGAGAATACCACCTTGGAGGTCCTTTTTTTAAGTTTGCTACCTAATTCCCTGAAATCATTCTTTAGGACCTTCCATCTTCCTCTTACTTTGTCATTGGTACCAACATGAACCATGACCGCTGGGTCATCCCCAGCCCCTCCCAATAATCCATCCACTCAGCAACATGCCGGACCCGAGCACCCGGGAGACAGCAAACTGTCCGGTTGAGCTGATCAGAGTGGCAGATTGCCCTATCTGCTCTCCTAATGATAGAGTCCCCTTCCACCACAACCTGTCTTGCCTTCCTTACATTTTGATCCCCACCCGTACTAGGGGGGCTGTTAGCTTGGCTGTTAGAAGTAACAGCTTCCTCTAATACAGCTACTCCTGAGCTGATGCTCCCAACATCTTCCCTCAAACAGGCAAAAGTCTGTTTGAGGGAGTACAACAGTGCCCCCAATGTACAGGCTTTATGGGTTTTTGCAAACTTACAGGGGTCGAATGTAGAGCATTCCCCTTTTCCATGTTTGCACATAGAAATTTGCCAGATGGGTTTGCTGGGCCTATGTTGCCTTTGAGACTGTATAGCAGCTCAGGAATGAAAATTAACCCTATCATCTCATATCATTTGTAAAAGTAGATAACTTAGCCACTTAGCCACAAACGCTGGCCAAAGTTAGCGTTCATATCTGTTTTTTGCATTTTTTTTACACAAAAACTGCACTTTTACTGTTGATTTCATAGCCATGATACATTTTACTGTTTTAAACACTCATATTTGTGTTCAGCGAAGTCTCCCAAGTAGAACAATACCCCCCATGTACAGGTTTTATGGTGTTTTGGAAAGTTACAGGGTCAATATAGGGCTTGCCCGATTCAGTTTGCCAGATTGATTTGCTGGGTCTGTGTTGCCTTTTGAGACCATATGGTAGCCCAGGAATGTGATATAACCCCATCATGGCATACCATTTTCAAATGTTGACATCCCAGGGTATTCAAAATGGGGTATATCCAGTCTTTTGTAGTGGTCACTTAGTCAGAAACGCTGGCCAAATTTAGCATTTTTTTTTTTATAAATGTTTTATTTCTTCAATTTATATTATATACAATACGTGTGTGTGTGTGTGTGTGTGTGTGTATATATATATATATATATATATATATACACACGCACACACATATACACACACATATATATATATATATATATATATATATATATATACACATACACATATACATATATATATATAAACATACACACTTATTTCCTATATATGTATAATATATTATAATTAAAGCATTTTATAATATATTATACATGTATAATGTATATATATGATTTCATTTCAGTATATATCTCAAAGCACACCTATAATTAAATCATATATATGCATTATATATGTATAATGTATTATAAAATGCTTTAATTATTTTATAATATATCACACATATATTATACAGACTTTGCTCACTTACCGATCGGGTTCTATTAGTACCTTTCTTTATAGAGATCGGAAGGTTTAACCCTTCAATTCAATGAAGTATCCGGTTTATGTATAATATATGTGCTTATAGCATATTGTTTTGAATGCCGAACCGATTTTAGACTACACTTCTGTCATAACAAAAGTCTATTAATGTAGTTACTGGTCAGCATCTCTTCTTAGATTAACCCTTGGTGTGGACGTAATTAACCCTCATGCTCTCTTGCCTGGTTAAATAGTTTCTTACTTGTTGCCGATCTTATTAATAAAGCTATCAGCTACTTTTGTATTATTAAGCTCTCTGCTGGCGGCAAATAGAATTTAAATGTCTCTTACCGTGAAATCCCTTCCTCGAGCATGAATTTTCCGAAGTCATATTTTCAACTCCCACTCCCCGAATGGATTCACACATTCAATTCTGTGTATGTTACCTGTTATATGAATGGATTGGTTTATAGGTGAGTATCCCAGAAAAAGAAGGGTACCTGCCAGCAAGGTTGACCCGTCTTTTCAGCGCTCGCCTGCGTGATTCAATATATTCACGATCAGCTCTAAACATACTTTTTGGTGGCAGAGACGGCACCATATGATCTAGGAATGCCACAAAGTATTATGCTGTCTGTACATGAGGGGCTTGAAGTATGAGCCGTAAACCTCATACTTCACGTATTACAAGTGCAAGCCTTTCTTTACTGGAATAAGCTGCAAGTGCTCAGTATGCCTGCAAAGTCTATAATATTTTATTTTGTCTCGGATATATACAAGTCCTTGTCATATGTATTGTCTTATTACTTTGGTTAGGTCCTTGTCATATTTTATCGCATTCTTATGATGATTAGGCTGCCTAAACCTATCTTTATACTCATAGGCTATCGATGTGCCAATGTATTAATGTAATATGATTCAGAGATTGAATACTTTTAATATTTATTGTATGCATTCTCTAGTAACGTATAGCCAAAAAGCTCTGCTAAGGAATGAGCTCTATCTTAAGTTATCCATGTGAATACAAAGGCGGGGGAGAGAAAAAAAGAGAGGCAAGGAAGAGGTATAAGTCTATACACCTATATGTGGATAGTGGGACCAAATGCCAATGCCTATACTATCTTTAGCTAGTTCATTGTCATGGCAGTCATCTATAAAGTCGATAACCACTCATTTCATGGATCCAAGTCTAAATTTTCAGCCAGTTGTTGGGTAATGGTAAAGGGAGATATTAAAAAGTTGTTATGGTGTTGAGGTGGATATGTATTACGTGGTCACTATTTATATATGCATATTTATAATAAAAATACAAATAAATGTATTGCGTGATGGATTAAAAGGCAAGTATATTATTCAGATATGAAGGAAGTATATGAGAATCCTTCGTTTAGTCCAAATGGAGATAATGTCTTATATTATTGATCCAGAAGCTCTCCCTCTGGAGAAGTTTCTTATCAAGATCTCCTTTCCTTGGACCCAAATTCATCTTTTCAATTCCATTGAATTGTAGTCCTTGAGAGGATCCTCCATGTGGAGTTTGAGATGTTTAGAGATTGGGGTATCTATAACTCTAGTGGGATTAATAGAGTTCACATGTTCAAAAATTTGTTTTTTGAAAGGTCTGCTTGTTTTCCCCACATATTTTAGGTTACAGCTACAGGTCAGTAGGTAGATAATTCCTGTAGTCTGACAATTGAAGAAAGTTTTGATCATATTTGAATCCGCTTGAATCCGAAATGTTTTTTGAATGTCTGCGGCTAAATTTACATGCTTTGCACCTCCCGCATTGGTAGGTCTGACATGCGGGAGATTTGAGCCATGTTATTTTATTTGCAGTAATAGAAAGGTGGCTGGGGACCAGCATATCTTTTAGGTTGCGTCTACGTCTGGCTGTCATGGCTACGAGGGATGTTAGAACATCTCTTAGGTGTTGGTCCTGATGTAATGGCCAGTATCTTTTGAGTGTATTTTTTTTTTACTGCATACCCGCCAGCATCGAAAGTGCCAATGCATCTGATAATGGTTTGTGCAGTTCTGACGTCTTGGTCTTCTCTGAGTAAGTTTGGTCTCTCAGTAAGTAGGGCTCTCAGGTAGGTTTTTTTTAGGCATTTATTTGGATAGCCTTTAGCTTTAAAATTTTAAAGACTTCTACTGAAGAGCAGTTCCTCCTGAGTCGTAAGTATTGCCCTATAGGTATAACTTTCTTTAGGGCCGGAGGGTGTTGGCTCTCCCAGTTGAGAAAGCTGTTAGTAGCCGTTGGATTTCTGTATAGAGTGGTGGACAGACTGTTTTAATTGGTCAATTCAATGGTGACATCTAGAAAGTTAAGTTTTTTTGTCATCAATCTCAAACGTCAATTTTAAGTTGATATTATTGATATTTAACTCTTCCACAAGTTCTTGAAGATTTCTCTTGTGCCTGTCCAGACAATCAATATGTTGTCTATATATCTTTTCCATGTTCTGACATATTGGGTGTATTGTTCCAATCACCACCCCAGATGAAGGTTGGCATATGAGGGGGTGCGAGCCATCCCCATGGCCGTCCCCCTCATCTGGTGGTAGTATTTCCCTTCAAATAGGAAATACTTATCAAAATGAAAGAGAGTAGTTGTACCACAAAGTTGATTTGTTCCCCTAATAAGGGATCTCTTGTTTGGAGGAAAGCTGTTACGTGTCTAATGCCGATTTGATGGGCAATCGAACTGTATAAGCCTTCCAAACCTAGGCTGCACAGAATTGCATTACTGGGTATAGTAAGGTTATCAAGCACATTGAGAGTTTGTTTTGTGTCTCTCAAGTGAGATGGAAGTGTCTTCACTAAATCTCTCAAAATATGTTCTATATATATGCTGCAGTTTTGTGTAAGGTTATTCCTACCAGACACAATAGGTCTTCCGGATAGTACTGTTTGTTGTTTATGAATTTTTGGTAGTGAATAAAAAGTTGCAGTGGTGGGTTTTTTGGTTAACATAAACTTGTGTTCCTCTTTAGTAATTAGTGAAGAAACAAGAGCCTCATCTAAGATACTTTTCAGTTTACCAAAGTATTTTTGCATTGGGTCTGATTTTAAAATGTGATAAGTGCATTGGTCATTCAATATCCTTAGTGCCATCTCTGTATAATTGGTCCTATCCATCACTACAATCTTACCCCCTTTATCAGATGGTTTAATGATAATCGATTCATTATTCCTCAATGTTTTCAATACTCTTTTTTCGTTTGCATCCATATTCCTATGAAATTGAGGGGATGAAACAAAAAGATCAATACATTTGAACTCTGATAAATGTGGGGTAAATTCACTTTTGTTTCTGAGGTTAGTGAAATGTGCAGTTGGTTTTAATAAAGGGTCATTGCTTTTTTTTTGTTTTTTGTTTTTTTGCTTTTTTTTTTTTATTATGCATTTTAAAAAGAAATTCCACAATGATTACAGAGATATCATGGTTGAACAGACATGTTTGTGAGCATTTTAAGTTTGTGCGTGAGTCGCTGGTTCGCATGCAGTGAAACAGAATATTGTGAAATCGAACATAACCAATAACATTAACAGCGAGAGGGTTGAGGGAGTTTTGTTTTGGGAAGGATTCTAGTGGGTTGTAGCTTTGTCGGTTCATGAGTACCAATCCAAGTTTGCATCATACGTCAAACCCATCTATAGAGGTGGTGTAATTGATCGTCGACATTCACAGTTCCTTCGTGTGTAATAACTTCTATATTGTACAACATATGTATGTTACCTTATGAGCTATACATTCAGTACCACGATTGCGAATATAGACACGTTATTGACATTTTATTGATATTTTATTGATATGTTATTGACATGGTATTCAGGCTTCATGACATCATTCGTAATCGTACATTAATATCCCTGTATGAGTGCAGCTGGCGAGTCTTCTCAATTTTTTAAATTATTTTTTTTTATTTAAAAAAGGAACAAATGGGGGGGGGAATGGAAAAAGGAGAACCATCAGTTGTCAGTGATGAGTTGCATTCCTGGAGTATGACCAGTGTTTAAAGTATTGTGTGCTTCGTCCCATATTTCCCATGCTTGTTTATATCTATGTTTGTTTTTTCCCAGTGTTTGCTCTAAGAAAGCTTTCATATATTTTATTTGTGTTAACAAGGTGTATACATTGTTATATGTCGGGCACTTTTTCGTTACGCCAGTGTCTGCTAAGTATTGTGAGTGCGACTATATTAATGTGGTATATTAAGTACCTGGTTGTAAAGGAAAGCTTCAGTGGGTAGTTTTGTAACAGGAGACATTCTAGTGTGTGTGGAATAGTAATTCCGAGGCTTGTGTTTATAAGTTGTGCTACTTCTACCCAAAACTGCTGTAGTTTTGTACAGTGCCACCAAATGTGGAGCATTGTGTCTTGCTCTGTTCCACATCTCCAGCAAGTACCGGACGCATCTGGATAAATATTCTTAAGACGGGCTGGTACCAGGTACCATCTGTAGAGTATTTTCCTGGAGAGCTCAATGTGGTTGGTGCATAGTGTTAACTGTTTGTATGCTGTAAATATTTGTTTCCAAGTGGAGTCTGGAAGCGAGTGGTTTGGGTGGGTCATTGCTTTTTAAGAGGTCTATCAGATTATCTAGGAGAGTCATATCTTTAGCCTCTAAACCCAGTTTTCTGGCTAGTTTATCATTTTGTATGTAGTGAAATTTATGTAATGCTAGCTTACGTGCAAAGAGATATATGTCCTTTG